TATGTATGTATATACATACATACATACATACATACATACATATACATACACATACATACACATACATATATACATACGCGCGCGCGCGCACGCACGCACGCACGCACACACACACACAACGGTATATTTGTTTCTCCTCAAATGTCAATACAAATGCTTTTGATGGGGTAGAGCACTGGTGTGGCAAATGCATGGCATAATTTCAACCATCCTGAAATCAATGTAAACCGTCAAAAACGGACAATGCATATAGTCAAAATCAATGTAATTAACACGACAAGAACAAACTCACAAGAACCAGTCGCATATAATTATATGACAACAAAGCATGACAAATCAATCCAGCAAACCTGCGGCGCTAAAACACACATTCATCCACACACTCAAGAACATGGGCCATTCAAATGTTATTCACATCAGAGGGAACAATATTAACCATATCATAAAAATGACACGATAGACAAATTAACACAGTAGTAACGCTACCGCAGATGTAAAAAAAACAAAAGCAGTTCACTTACCAAAGCTGCTGTTCACTATTTAAATACAAAGTCCATCCTCCTTACTTTGATTACAAAGAGTTTAATGACACGGTTGTACAATATCATTAAATATTGCGGTTCAGTTCCAGCCAGAGGTCCTCCTGTAAACTTGTTCGTTGAGTTGTAGATTCACTCGGTTCCCCCGAAAAGTTTTTAAAAGCACTGTAGCTTGTTAGTGTCCTGTCGTGCTATGGTGTGTTGTTGCTGCCTTGGTTAGGCAACTCAGGTTTGCAAATCCAGCATAGCTCCAAACACCAAGACGCTCAGTCGCAAATAAAACGCATTCTTAGCCATAAAATTTGCAACGCTTCTCCGACGCTGTTAGCCAGGAATAACGTTCGCACAGATCCTTTTCCTGGCTGGGTCAGGGCTGCTCGCTGTGGGGTTGGCCGACCCAATGTCAATTACAATGTCCAGCTTTTCTTGAAATGTCCTTCTCCAGAAAGACGTTGCCAGTAAATCCACCACCAAATCCATTTCTCCTCCTCCTTCAGCCATTGAGTGTTAAAAAAAAAAAAACTCTTACTACTATTACAAAGTTCTGCTAGCTAGTTTCACAACAGTCAAGCTAGCCCACTGACCAATCAAGCCGCACATTAATGCTGACGTACTTGTAGGCCAGCTTGAAGGCTCTGGCACGTCAAAGAATACGCCCAACATGTCAAACTAAAAATCAGATTGGTTGAAGACTATGACAATCAACAATATCGTGCCCATTTACTTAAACTGCAAAGAGATTCACTGGTAATTCTGCAGGACTCGGGCAGTTTTTTTTACTTGGAGACAGCATAGGAGCGAAATCTGATTGGATAATAAGATAATTACAGTTACAGGATCGTGACAATATCAAAATACATATTGTCGTGTTTTTAAATAAACATATAAGCACGAGAGAACAAACTGCAACTCTTTATTAGCATAACTTCCTCATGCAGGTTACTGCCATGGTACAGACTACAGGTTCCATGCTTCACCTACATTCCCCTGAGTCCTAAATCCCTCCAGGTACAGCTTCTTATCACCCTCTATGTACCAATGTACATTTATAACAAATATCACACTTATTACGGTAATCAGCGTTGCATATGCGTCTGACAAAAATAGCAAAAAATAAATGATTAATTTAAATTATTTTTTTTAAGTTTTTTAAATGTTTTTGTTTGGAATATGTATAATAAGCATATTTAGTTATCGCTACTGAGAATTTAACAAACATAAAAAACATGACGTAGTTTGCAGTTTTCAAGGTGTATATTTCAAATACACACATGAAAATAAAGTTGTGAACACCGGCTGAATTATTATTATACTATTATCAGAATCATTATAACTGTATTTTAACTACTACTGTGTAAAGGGAATACTGCTGTTAAAAATAACCTTATTTGTTTAAAGTGTTTGCAAACCAAATGTTATTGCACTTTTGTTCATATAGCAGTACTTTTAAAGTAAAAGTACGCAATACACTACTTTTGAATTCATTATTGAACTTTGCCATAACAATGCGATTAATGGCAAAATAAATAAATCATGTGATTATTCGCGCACAACGCCATCACAATGTGTTCAACCTTGTAAAATTTTGTTTTGGGCGAGAAACTTTAATAAATACATAAGATGTTTTTACAGCAGTATAAAAAAAAAAAAAAAGATATTGGAGTTGGAATTAGCTCTAAGCAGCTCATAATAATAAAACTGCTGATATTGACAAAATATTTTCAAACTATTTCGATAAAAATACAATCATTTATTTCCTAATCATTTGAATGACTCTCCAACAATGGAGCTCATCGTAGGCCAGGACAGCCTGTCCATACAAAAGGAACACCTGCCCAATCTCTCATCCATGATGGTGAGCTCAATCAGAACACTGTTAACCAGTCTGTTCCCAGACAGCCACTGGGAGCGCTGGATGAGCGGCTGCTGGAGCTATGCATACATAAATGAGAGAGGAGGGTGCTGCAGCAGAATGAACCTGAGGAACCCAGCAAGAGCACTGGAGGGGGTGGCTAGCTCAGGGAAAGAGAGCGGGAGGGAAACGGAGAGCGTTATGCAATTGCCATGCAGGTTAGAATGCACTTTGTCTGGCCATGGGGGCTGCAGGAGAGAGAGACACACAGACAGAGTGAGAGCGAGACAGAGCCCATAACAATAGACAGAGTCAAGGGAATTCAGCCATAATAAACCCCCACAGAGAGAGCTTTTCTCTGGACTCTTAATACAGGGTGCACAGCCCCATGGGAACACAGACATAATGAGGACACCCTCCTCACTGCAGCTCCAGCACAAGGATGGAGGAATGTGACTTATCAACACAACAACAGAAGCAGCTCAGTGTTATATACACCGAACCAAAGGCTTCCTACAGGCAATAAGCAGACTATTGAAAGAAAATGATCAAGGATGTGAATAACTAATGTCCCCCTGCTGCTGCTGCTGGGCTGGTCATCCGAGTGCTTCTCAAACTATGGGGATGCTCCTGAAGCCAGACATGGAGCAGACACTGTCTGGGTATATTCAAGCTTGACAACAGACTGGGAGCCTAATCCGCTTCTCAAAAGACCATACCGCTGCATGTTCCAGCCCATTTACTACAAATAAAACTGCTCAACATATTTTTAAGGAAGCAACTGGTTGACGTTGATTTCAGTCTAGTATAAAAATGGTTGCGTAATGTTTAATGCATATTATGTATGGATTTAAAAAAAAGTTTTTATTGATTGCGGAAATGATTGTTATAGTGGGAAATCACGTGGCTAATTTCCAAACCGTATTCAATTAATCTGCAGCCAACCTCATGCTTATGACATGATTTTTATGTATTTCAATGGGATATAAAAGTTTAAAGTCTTGAAAACTTAATTTTCATATTGGCCAATCAATAATAATTAATTGCAATAAATAGGTACTTATTTGAATAATTGATTATCAAATCAGTTATTGATTTTTAGATAGACAAGTCATCACTTAAAGCAAAAATGCCACAAATGCACTGGTTCCAACCTCTCAAATGTGAATATGTGCTGGTTCCCCAAGTCCTCTATGATAGTAAACTGACCACCTTTGAGTTTTGGACATATTTTAAGAGTATTTTAAATCGGGATCAAGGAAATTGTGCATTATTCACTTTCTGTCTTTTTATGAGCAAAATAAGTAATGATGAAAATGCAGATTAATCGATAATAAAAAACAATCATTAGTTGCAGCCCAGTGGTATGGTCCTTTAAAACACGTCCGTGTATCATATTCAAACACAGAACAAACTTTTATATCTTAAAAAGGATTTTGAGGAAACAAATACAGTGAGCCGAGTGCTCTATGCATGCACTAGAATTGTGTTGAACATACACCACTATCACTCAAAGACATTTTTTATAGTAGACTATTCTATCCAGCAAAGCAATTCTGAAATGCCACAGACAAGTGATTGTGGTTCCTCGTTGGACATACAAGGAGCTGACACAGATACAGACCAACATGTTGACATCAGGAAGCAGCAGTCTCAGGTGTCTGATCCACTTGAGACAAGCCCTGCCAGCAAAGTTGCTGTGCTGTCATTTGACTGAGGGCAAGGCCAGTTTTAGAAAGGAAGTTATGATACAGCTTAACTGACAACCAGGAGCACTTTTTTAAGCTGTGGCAGCTGACTTTGACCATGCCAGTTGACTACAAACATGAGCCAAACCATATTGATTGAAATATGTTACATTTCTAATTTATACTTAGATTTCAGGTGTGACTTTACCTGCAACGGTCCCCAAACACACAGTTTCCCTTCTGAAAGAACTTGCAAATCATATCTGCAGGTTTGCTGCTGGCCAGATCGTGGGAATATCGACAGTTGCCTCCTTCTTTGCATAGACCATGCATGAAATACCTGAAAATACAAAATAAGAAATCGTCGAGTCGAGTAAACGATTTCAGGTCATAGGCCTACTGGCGTATACATTTGAACGGAAAACATTTGTTTGTTCATTCAAATCCGTATGTTAAACTTAACTTTAAGTTGAAGGCTAACTTTAAACGTTTGACGAACCCGCTAGATCCTAGCGCAACAACTGTGTGTAAATGTCGCCTTTCACTTTCACATTGGCAACGTATTAAAGCTCCTCTTAGCATGGTCACACCAAACATTTGGACTGATAACGCTAGCTAATGTCTGGATGTGGCACCCAGCAGCTGCTATGAATAGTAGGTCATGGTACGTGGAGTAAATTCAAACTCACCAATAAGCTAGACTCGCTGGTATCAACGTTGACTTGTTTTAAAGTAAAATAGAACAGCTCACAACTAAGGGCTTTATCACTCTGTTGTACAACAGTTGGTTTACGTAGTCCAACATTTTAGTCTGGCGTTAATGCTTGCTGAGTTAATCGTTGAAAATGTGGCTAGCACGCTGGCCGCTAAGCTAGCACGCCAGTCTACTCTGAGACCATAACACAGTGAACACAACAACACAGTGGAGTACTGAAGCTAGCTAGACAACAGCTGAGCCGAGCCGAAGATGACGCTGTTGTCAGTCGTTAGCCAGCTACCGCGTAACAGCTATTTTGATATCACTATCTTTGATATTAAAAGTAATTTTTCATGTCTTACCTGCAGGTTACGTGTTTGGTCCAACCTACTGTTATTGATGAAGCCGCCATAGACGCTGCTGCTGCCTCCGCCATTGCTGTTTATGTTGAGAAGCTACAGCCGGATGTTCCGGAAAGCTCCGCTCCAGCTCGGCTTCTTTCGCATATCTAGGGTTCAGGTCGGGATTTACCGAACAACTCGCGCTAGGTACTGTCCACTACGCCGGGGCAGCAGTGTCCCAATAATAACGACAAACCAAAAAACATTGACGAACCTCCAGGCCAATGAAAACCAATCAGTATGAGTGTATTAACGCGCGTTACTTTTGTTTCAATACAATTTACTTGTAAATTGCTTGTCATTGTGAGATGCTCCACTATGATACTGTTTGGGGATATTAGGCCTACCCTGGTTTGGAAAATTAAAACTAAATATCAAAGAATTTCGAAACATTGTTTGGATAAACTATCAATTTCATCTAAGTTAACTGTGGACATTCGATTCTCGGTGGACATATGTATATTGGTTTTGGGAGAGCATTTTTGCCCCCAGTGGAGATGTAATTTCTACAATTGTAAAACGCTACAAAGTAGCCTAATTCAGAAAATGCAAACTGTAATATGTCATATTCATTGAGCCAGAGAATAGCAGCTTAACCTTTATTGCTCTGTGCCTTTGTTCCTGAATAGGAGAGAGAACTACAGAAAGGTGTGATTAGCAAAGCATGATTGGTGTTTGGTGTTTGCCTTCTTCATGCCAATATACCACCAGACACCACTATATCTATTTCACTGTGAACAAATATTATCAGTCCCCTTTCCTTACTTCCTCCTTATTTACATTCAGTTGAGGGGTCAGCTGTATTGTACTGCTCTTTACCACCAAAGGATTTCTGCTTAATTTTGCTAAGGTGCAACCTAAAGAAAACATGCTGTCTTGGCTTTAAATATTTCATACATATGTATTATGTATTATGTAATATGTCACAGAATGTGAGTTATTTTTACAAGTTCAAGGAAACCTAAATACATTTTAGGTGGAAATCAGAGTTTAAGGGGTCAAGTTTCCAATAGGCTATTGATTTTTGGTCTAATTCAAAGCAGTCACCCAGAAGTATCACAAATAAAACTCTGGACCTTCTGTATGCTAATGCCAGGATGCATACTGTGCCACTGCCCTTCCCCCCCTTGGCAGGTCTGCAGCTTTCAGGTCTGGGGACAGGGATGAGCTCAGGAGAGTCCAGCGCGACCTGAAGGTGAAGCTCAGGGAGGAGGAAGCTGGAGGCCAAACTCCAACAGAACAACGTGAGGGAGGTGTGGACCGGGATGAAGCAGATAACTGGCTTCAAGGTTGGAGGGAGACAACCAGGGGGCTCCCTGCCTGGTGAGGGCAAACGATCTAAACTGTTTCTTCAATAGGTTTAGTTCACAGCCCTCATCTGTCTTCTCCACACACTACACCTCACAAACACCTCGGCTGCCTCCCCCCCTCCCCCTCTGTCCCCCCTGGTGAGCTGCATGGACACAGAGCCCTCTGACACCATGACCACCCTTCCCCCTCTCTGTGACGACTGGCCAGGTTAGGAGACAGCTGGGGAGACTCCACCAAGGCAAGGCTGCAGGACCTGATGGCATCAGCCCCAGGGTCCTCAAGACCTGCACCATCCAGCTGTCTGATGTCCTGCAACACCTCTACAACCTGAGCCTGAAGCAGGAGGAAGTCCCGGTGCTGTGGAAGACATCGTGCCTGGTCCCTGTACCAAAGAAGATAACTCCATCTGGCCTCAACAACTACCGACCAGTTGCCCTCACATCACATGTGATGAAGGTGCTGGAGAGGCTGGTCTTGGCTCACCTTCGACCGCAGGTGAAATCTTCACTGGACCCTCTGCAATTTGCATACCAGCCTCATGTGGGAGTGGACAACGCCATCATCTACCTGCTGCAACGAGCTCAAGTCGCACCTGGATGGAACCGGTGGCTCTGTGAGAATCACTTTCTTTGATTTCTCCAGTGCATTTAACACCATCCAAGCTGCGGGTGGTGGGGGTCCATCGTATCCTGGATCACTGACTACCTCACAGGCAGACCACAGTTTGTCCGACTGGGCCGTGTGCTGTCTGATACGGTGGTCAGTGATACTGGAGCTCCACAGGGAACTGTTCTGTCTCTCTTCCTGTTCACCTTGTACACCACTGACTTCCAGTACAACTCGGGGTCATGCCATCTGCAGAAGTTCTCTGAAGACTCTGCAGTGGTCGGGTGTATAAGAGAGATGGTGAGAGATGGTGGTCGACTTCAGGAGGAAGACGATGCTCCACAACCGCTGAGAGTTCTGGGAGAGGATGTGGACATGGTGGAGGAGTACAAGTTCCTGGGTGTCTCCATAGACAACAGACTGAACTGGAAGGCCAATATCAACGCTGTGTACAAGAAGGGGATGAGTTGACTATTTCTTGAGGAAAGTTCGATCCTTCAACGTGTGCAGCAAGATGTTGGAGATGTTCTACCAGTCTGTTGTGGCTAGTGCACTTTACTTCGCCGTAGTCTGCTGGAGGAGCAGCATTGGAGCCGGAGACACCAACAGACTTAATAAACTGGTTAAGAAGGCCAGCTCCATCATTGCCTGCAAACAAGACATTCTGGAAAAGGGGGTAAGAGGACACTGAAGAAATTATTATCCATATTGGATAACCCGGACCACCCTCTCCACCACCTCCTGCAGGGACAGCGGAGCACTTTCTCCAACAGACTGATCCAGCTCCGCTGTCACAAGGACAGATACAGAGAACCTTCCTGCCCACTGCAATTAGATAATAAATCACCTCTGGCCAGATCATCATTCAATTGACTACACACCACTACACTGTTGTTTGCTGTTGGTTGATCTTTGCACTACTGTTTAGTTTACCTAGTTAGTTAATTTAATACTATTCTATTTCATTGTATATACTGTGCATTTTTATTGTTATTTTTTTTTCTTTATATTTAATATGTTTTACTGTTATTTTATTGTATATATTGTACATTTGTCATACTTAATATTTTTATTTTTACTGTTACTTCATTTACTGAAGTATATCTTTGCTGCTGTAACAAACAAATTTCCCCTGGGGATGAATAAAGTATCTATCTATCTATTCTCTTGCCCTTCGTTCTTTTTCCTCGTCTCTCCCCCGTGTGTGTAAATCGCTCACTCGAGTCAGGAAACTTGTCAGAATACCCATGATGATTGGCTGAGCTGCATCACGTGATGTGATTTACAACGCATTGGTCGGTGTGTTTCCTGCACCACTGAATGAGTGCCATAAAGGCTGGAAAAGCTGCGCCGGTTAAAATAGAAGCGCTCCGTCAAAATTTTATAATTGTCAATTATCTATTGGTTTTAGGTCAACAGGGGCTGATGGCTTTCAATTGCCACCCGAGCTGCTTCAGAGCTGACCTGAAGCTGCAGTTCAGTGGACCCGAGCATATACACAAACTTAGGTTTGTAATCCATTTCTGAAACCAGACAAGAACATGGAAGATGTAAGTTGTTGTCATGACTGTAAGCTGTCAGAGAAGAAAACAAACATTTAATTTAAGTTTATTTCTCTAGCCCAAAATCACAAATTTGCCTCAGAGGGATTTCCAATCTGTACACGTGACATCCTCTGCCCTTGGACCCTCGCATCGGCACAGGAAAAACTCCCTAAAAACCATTTTAATAATAACAGCAGTGGATATAATGGAATGACAGTAAAAGTATTAATAGTAGCAGTAATAGTAATAGACAGGATCATGGCAAAGGTATAACCATGATCCATGGATTTAAATGTAAGTTACAGTATTATGAAGCAGTTACAAGCTGATGAAGATCATTCTGATTTAAAAAAATATTGATCCAATCAACACTCTTTAATTTAATTTCAGATTAACAGTCACATTAAACCTCACAGCTGTAATTTACCAGAACTTTATTATATTTATATTTTACCAGTGGTGCTTATGTTTACTTATATATTTTTAAATTTATTTTAACAGTGTGTCGCTGAAGCGGCGTCATTTATCCAAAAGTCAAACAGATGTTCTGAGCACGATCAAGAAAAGATCTCACACACTTTAACATCCCACTTAATTAAAACGGATTAAAACGGCAACGTACTCGAGGTACTGTGCCCATAAAATACCATCCGTCGCTGTCCAAGACCTTGCGAACAGTCTTGTACAGGCCACATCCAGTCATCCTGTGGGCACAGACGGGGCAGCTGATGGTGCACTGCCCCGTCTGTGCACCACCGCTTTGTTTTCCTCGGTGACGGCCATGAGGAAGATAAGGAGGTGGCTGTGATGGCCGCTTTCTTCTTCTGGTCATGTACCTCTTCAGGTGGTCCATGCTCGACCCCTTTGGACTGCACACGGGTTCTCCTGAACCACATCCTGTAGCTGTTGAGGGATGATGGAAACGCCTCACAGTTCCGTTTTAATTAAGACTCGCTCTGTGACTTAACTCTGCAGTTTAGATGACTTTCTTCAATAAAGTGCCTCAGAACAGCATATTTATCAGTTTCATGATTTTTTTTCATGAATACCTGATGCTTTCACCACTTTACTGCCTAAAGGTGCATTTTCACATTTTCATGAATACCACTTTAATGACGAAGGTGCATTTTCACATTTTATGCTCTTAAAAGACGTTTCAGGCTGGACAGAGGCCAAAAGGGTATTTTTTTTTTAATTAAAGAAAGCATAGTTTAGATGATTTTCTTCAATAAAGGGACTTGGAACTTCATATTTATCAGTTTAATGATGTTTTCATGAGAACCTGATGCTTTCACCACTTTAAAGCCAAAGGTGCATTTTGACCTTTTATGCTCTTAAAAGACATTTCAGGCGGAGGCCAAAAGTGGATTTTGTGAAAGAATACATAGTTTACTTGATTGTCTTCAAAAAAAGTACATCAGAACAGCAGATACTACAGTTTAATATTATTTTTGTCCTTAACTGGGGTCTTATTCACCATCGGACTATTTAAGTTGAATAAAGAAACTTTGGGACAGATGGATCACTGGGCTCAGGGTACAATTTGTGAGTGTTGAGCTTGTTTATTGTGTCAGAGTGTAAGTGATAACCCCTCGGCTTTTGTTTGCTGTCTGCCGTCCAAGTCAGACGTGATGAAACCATCAGCGTTTTATTACATAATCCATTTTGACATAACAATTGTCATTACTAATTTGTTGTGGTATACTTCAGTCAACTGAGGTGACAGGTTACTGAGTCCCTGAAATATAGTGCAACACAATAATAACTTCATACAACGACTTACTTACTGAACACTAGGTGATCCGTCCAAACTTATTGTAGTTACAAAAGAAGATTAAAGCAAATGACAAACATTTGACAAAGTCCACATTAGGGAGGGTCGTTACAGTCCGGGCCAGGAGGCTCTGAGGTTGAGGAGAATCAACACGTCACAGGCAGCCAAGCAGTAAACTCCCAACTCGTTCAGCGCAGACTCTGGTTGAGGATCCCCTGCACTGGCCCAATCTGTCCCTTCCTCCTCTGACTCCTTGAGGAGATTCCTCAGCAGAATAGCAGAGCCCACGTTAAGACACAAGATGATGCACGCCTCCTTAACACTGTGGGGGGTGAGGGGAGAAAATATCTTAAATACACATTAAGGGCTTTGTTTTACTACTTTGTATTAGTGTCTGTAGATTTCTCCTAAATCCACCAAAAGTTACCATTAGATAATTTAAACATAACATTTCAGAAAACTTGTAATACAAAAAATATTTTTCTTAATGTCAGTAATCTACTGGTGATATCAGTTCATTTTTTTACCCTATTCACCTGTAGTGTCTTCAAAATGTCTGTAATTTTACAAAACATATCTTTAAAGGCCTAAAGGAGATTTTCTCAGACTCTGATCCAGAAAACTCCACTTCAGTAGCTCTTATATACACCAAACTTTACAATTTCATCCTTTCTATATTCTGAAGGTTTTTACAGAGGGGCTTGTTCACATATCATTCATAGCCTCATTTATACTACATTTTATTACTAAAAACATGGAGAATATGTATTTTTTTATGTCTGTTGACAGTATTTTTTCATTTATGGAGTGATAAAAAGAGATCGTAAATTCCCTCTGTAAAAACCTTTGACTCAGAGTCAAAGGTGACAGTATGTCAAGGCTTTTACCTGGCTTTATCCAATGTTCAGAGATTTCTGTTCTGGAAACGTATGCAAATCTGCACATATTTATTAAGATAATGCCTCATTTGCATATATAAACATACTTTTTCAGAGAACTTGTAAGACAAAAAATTATTTGTCTTAATGTTAGCAATCATATGGGGAAGTTTCAATTAGTTATTTTTACCCTATTCAACTGGGGTGTCCCCCCTTAACAGATAACATGTTTTTTTTATAAATGGAAAAGAACCCCATCACCTCCAAGAAAGAGCTCCTTGGTCCCAGGTGTTCACAACAGCAGATATAACATTTCATGAAGACCAGGTGTTATCAATATTGAGACTAAATTATAGTATAATTGTATGATGGCTATTCAAACACTTTGGATTATTACGCTGTTAATTGGTGGAGTCGTCCCTGCACATACAGAGCTAATCATTCATCTACAGACATTACATATAAAGCAGGTTAGGAGAATAATCCTCATGTTCTCAGAGCGCGATCTCACTGAACTGACACATCTATCTGTGGTGTGGTTCTTAAGGTCTGGTTCTCATCTTCTCTTTCGTTTTCTTATTACTTGTTACTGTCGTCATGGCGACAGGAGACGCACGTCTTTTTAAATACCTCCAATACTGGACTGATACCGCTAATTAGTGGAATAGATTGGCTTTTCAATATTTTTTTTATGGATCTTGAACATGAAAATTGAGGCCATGTGTTGATGCTTGTTTTGTATTTCATGAAAGGTTTTTGATGAGTGGCATTTCAGTGCAACAAACAAATTTAAATATGATTAATGTTTTGTTTTTTTAAGCTGTAACTGCTACACAACACTATTCATTTACAGTCACATTTCACATGTTTAATTCTTGTGTATCCCTCTGAGCTCTGATATCCTTGGAGGATCAAAATACTGGCATAAAATTATACATTTACTAGTGCTGGGCAACGATTACAATTTTTTAAAATTTAATCGCAAGATTTCTTTACGATTAATCGCATTGTTATGGCAAAGTTCAATAATGAATTCAAAAGCAGTGTATTGCACACTTTTATTTTAAAAGTACTGCTATATGAACCAAAGTGCAATAACATTTGTTTTGCAAACACTTTAAACAAATAACGTGCTTTTTAACAGCAGCATTCCCTTTACACAGTAGCAGTTAAAATACAGTTATGATTCTGATAATATATATTCAGCCGGTGTTCACAACTTTATTTTCATGTGTGTAATAGATGCAATTTTAAATATACACCTTGAAAACTGCAAACCTATCTGTGTCATGTTTTTTTCCTTTTTTTATGTTTGATAAATTCTCAGTAGCGATAACTAAATGATATGCTTATTATACATATTACAAACATAAAAACTTTAAAAAAATAATTTAAATTAATCATTTATTTTTTGGTATTTTGGTCAGACACATGCAACGCTGATTACCGTAATATGTGTGGTATTTGTTATAAATGTACGTTGGTACATAGAGGGTGATAAGAAGCTGTACCTGGAGGGGCTTAGGACCCAGGGGAATGTAGGTGAAGCATGGAACCTGTAGTCTGTACCCTGGCAGTAACCTGCATGAGGAAGTTATGCTAATAAAGAGTTGCAGTTAAGAGCAGTTTGTTCCACGTGCTTATATTTTCATTTAAAAACACGGCAATATGTATTTTGATATTGTCACGTTTCATCCTATAACGAGACGATCGCGCGTGTGTGTGATACAGGAGGGACCGACGGTGATGGAGTAAAGGGGGGTTCCGGCGGCAGCAGCAGCAGGAAGTGATGCCACACAAACACAGCTGTTCACTGCTTGCTGCCCGGTTGTGTTAAAAATTTCCGCTTAATAATTTTTTTAAAAACTGCGTTAACGCGCGATAAAATAATTGTCGCCGTTAATTAATGAATGCGTTAACGTGATAATAACACGTTAACTTGCCCAGTACTAATATTAATATAATTTTTCACTTTCCACTTTAAATCTTTTAACCAACTTCTGCCAAATATTCATTCATTTCCTGAATTGGAACCCTTTAAATGCTAGTTTGTTTATATATTCCCTTTGACAATGGCATTATGTATTGGCATTTAATGGGTTCAAATTCTAAAAAATAAATGAATATTTAGAAGTGATGACAGGACAATAATATGAACATATAATGTCTATGACAATTTTTTTATGCAGATATTTTTGTCCTCTACAGACATCAGAGCAAGTTTTTTTTAAAAGTGAGGCACAAGGGTTCAGGAAGCACAGTGCAGATTTCTCAACGAAGAAAAGAGGTGCGCGCGCGCGCGCGCACGCGCACGCGCACGCACACACACACACACACACACACACACACACACACACACACACACTTACTGCTTAAAGAAGTTCTCAGGTCTTTTGCAGTAGTGACCAAACAGAGGAAATAGATTTCTGGTCATGTCGAACTGAAGCTGGGCTGCCCCACCTTCACTGAAATGATTAGACAGGATCACCTGATGGAGAGACATAATGACATGTTTAGACAGTTTCATTGTAACTACATGGCAAGACAAACCACTGTCTTTTTTATTTATTATTATTATTTTTTTATGAGTCGGGAAGCAGAGAACAAAGTTTGACTTTACTTTATATGTTAGATTAAAGAGAAATGCTGTCCCCTCGTCCTAAATCAATACTAGAATAGTTCCTTGTTTTATAAATGAAGCAGTGCACCAGTTGAAGAAATGGCAGTGAGTGTGTTGGACCAATCAGCGACGGTCATCCCTGCAAACCCCACCCCGAAAGATACTGTACATTCAGAAAGTACTACCCCCCAAAAAGGTCCTTTTTGGGGGGTTAATTCACCCCCAAAATCCCTTCGACACCTTATATTCGCTTTTATATTATGTGTCAGTGTAAAATGTTGCGGTATCTAAACTGCCCTCAAAAAGCCGGACTGTGTGATATCTACTTTGTGGTGTGTTTTTATATGCTTTCACAAAGCACAAACAGTCCGACGAGGTTGTAATGCGTATTCATCTCTTACATCCTGGTAGAGGATGGTGTCGAGTCTCTCCGCCAGACCCTGCCAGGCCAGTTGGAACAGAGAAAGACTCAGGACCTGATGAAGGTTTAACAACCTGTCCCTCACACACAGCATCATGGGACATGCTGAACTGGACAGGGTCATGGTGGACTGGTCCTGTTGGGGTGGTAGGGACAACCACCTAAAGAAAAGACAAAGTAAAGGCAAGAAGGAGAATAAATCAGTGCAAACCATTATTCTTTGGCCTCCGTGTTTAGTAACATTAGCAGAACAAGAGCTATAGAAGAGTAAAATAATCTCTCTTTAAAACAATGCAGGCAAAAGCTGAGCAATAATTAGGTTCAGAATGTCATTGCTCCAAGAGTTGGTTGCCAATTTCTCAAAATGGTTGCCAATGGCAACTTGTCAACCTTGCAACCCTTACTGTCAAACGTTCAGCTCAGATCTGAGTCAAAGACCACACCAAGATTTCTTGCTTGTTGGCTGAGGGTATGTTCAAGAGAATTTAATTTTGCGACTAGTTTTTCTCTCCATGCTTTAAAATATATAACTAAAATTTCAGTTTTATCCTGGTTGAGCTGAAAAATGTGGTTTGACATCCAGACATTAATGTCTAAAATACATTTAAAAGGGAATCAATTGGTCCTGTGTAAAATGTAGGGACACGGCCACGTAAAGTTGTAAACTACGGAAAGAGATTCCATGTCTATTGATGACATGGCATCTCAGAGTAAAAAGGTAACATATAGATTAAAAAGAAGTGGACCTATAATAGAGCCTACACGCTTTGAGGAAAACCAATTTGTTGATTTTTCACTCAACTACCACAGTTTTTTTTCCAGTTGTTTCCCCCCAAATCAATACATTGTAAGTTCATATGAGAGCACTATACAAGAAGACTGCCACTGCCAATGGCTGAGGTCATTTGGCATGCAGATGAGAGGGCACTTTTGTTGCTAGTGTGCCATTGGTTAAGCCAACCTTAGTGCCTACTCCTAATTTAGGTTTAGAGACTGTTTCAAAAGATGAGCCAAGGCAACTGAAAATAACGTGATACAATTGCACTGGTGTTAAAAGTCAGAGGTCTTGGTAACTCCATCTACAACTGGCTATTTTATTTTTGACAGGCAGCTGCCGGATTATGAGAATAGGTAATCCACACGCATCTACAATAACTCTCAGGACAGGCCCACAGCAAGGATGCTGTCTGGGTCCACTACTGTAAAAATAACATTTCTTTTTACAATCAACACTTGAAATGATGAAGGCACACGACTGTGCTGCTAAATATGACAACAATAATGTCATACAATTTTCTGATGCCACCAGATTGATTGGACTGAACAGAGACAGTATTGAGTGACAGTGATGCCTATAGAACCATAGTGGAAGACCGAGCCCGATGGTGTCATGACAACAACTTAATTTCAATAGGACAAAATGACTCATTGTCGACTTTAGAAAACCCAGAGGGGATTATATTCCTATTTCCATATACGGGTCATCTATTGAGATTGTTGACAGTTTTAAATTCCTGGGTTTGGAACAGAACAGAAAAAAACTAAGGACTATAAAGATGGCCACTGAAATCATTGGCACGGAATTACCACAGCTCTCCCAAACATCTGTTTACATTCAATTGACAAGGCCTTCTAGCAGCAGTGGTAAATGTGACCGGAGCAAAGAAGGAAATCAGGTGAGGAACATGAGAGATGTCAACAGCCATTGACAAAATACTAACTTTCCAAAGACAGATGATTCCTCTACAAAAGGCTACATGTCTGGTGTTTTAGAGGAATCTCATGGACTGATGCTGCCCTCTGTAGAATGTAGCATTACAACTAGGGGTGTTAATAATTAACCTAACACTAGGATAGGTTAAATGCAGAGGCTAAATTATTCCACTGTGTGACAACAATTTGACATCGATTTGCTTATACAGACTCTGAAGTGGTTGTATTAATGAACTATTTGTCTGAGACCAGGTTGTAAAAGAGTATAAAAAATGTGCCAATTTATTAAAAAGTTGATCTCCTGGAAGTATATAGCCGGCTCTCTTTATTAAAATCACTAGCATAGAGTTCATATCTGTCCTAATATAGTGGACTCTTCATGGATTTAAGGACATAATTAAACAGGACTGGTGGTGTAGTGTGAAGTCAGACTCACAGGGATATAACTCTGATATTACTCATGGTAAGTGTGACATGTTTTCAACGAAACATAGTGTAACCATGATAATGCAGTGCCATTTTGGGGTTAAAGGTGATATGATGTCAGTGCTTGTGGGTTATGTTTTTGGGAGTGTGGATTTAACGGCAACTTTGGTGTGCAGCCAAAAAAGACACGTGTGCTGACTTCGTTAATCCCGGCGCTCCTACACTAACCTATTAAAACATAATGTAAATGGTACTCATCAACAGACCGATGTCTTACCTGTCTTGTCCGTATGGCTTGGCTTTTTCCGTGATTTCTCTCATGGTCCATTCAAGAAGCCTTCCCATCATGTCTCCTTTCAGTCGATCCAGCAAAGCCAACAGGCCTTCAAACAGCGAGCCCTCCAGAGAGGCCAGGCGACCCACTTCCATCACCCCCAGGCCTCCCAGCACCACTTCCTCGCCAAGTGAAACCGCTGCCTGCTGCAGCTGCAGGAAGAACTGAAAATGAAACAAAGGAACTGGTGAACACACAACCCTCTTCTGGCCGGTCTCTGGCAGCACTGTGCAGCTCGTTTCTCACATGAAAGGCTATGTTTTTGTGGCAGAACAAGGACAAAGCATAGCGCTCATCCTGACATGTGTCCTAGTTTTCAAACTGTCAAGTACTGAAGGCTGGCATTGAACCCTTGATCAATTGAAGTATATGGGAGCCACGTGTAACAGCAAAACTATATCAAAACTTGAGTTTAAAAACTCTCGTGCTGTATATTCCAAGTGTGTTTTATCCAGTCATATGCTCTACTTTCCAAACACATGCATCCCCACTAAAGTCTTACTATTTAAAATACTTTGGACTCTCCGCAACAATGAGACTGTTTACAGAAGTATTTCAAATTTTAAGACTTTAGCTAAAAAAGCATGTGTTTGGGAAGTAGTGAGTTTAAGACTGGATAAATGCTAAAAAAAAAGTTTAAAAAAAGTGAGTCTGTGAACACATTTTTTGCTGGTAACAAAATTTAATTAAATTTTTTGATTTTTTAAATTTATTATACTATATTGATCCCTTTAAGGGGGAAATTTGTCTCTGCATTTGACCCATCCCTGTATATAGGGAGCAGTGGGCTGCCAATGACAGTTCGCCCGGGGAGCCTGGGGTTCAGTGTATTGCTCAGATACACTTCGACACGTGACACGTGACACGTCCCAGTCAAGGATCGCACCGTTGACCTTCCGGCTCCCAGACAACCCTCCTAACCCAGTGAGCCAAAAACCATTTACTTCAATTTAATTGACTCCAACTTTTGATTCTGTGTTTGCCGTGGAGGAATGTGAGAAAAACATTATTTTCAAGAATTCAAGAACACGGGCTGAGAAGATGATATACAAATGGTCATTTTGTGGGTGAAGTATTTTAAGCTACAGTTTCTGTGCTGCTGCTTGTGTTTAGAAAACATTTAACAAGTGTGACAAAATAGTTTGTAATATAAACAAAAACATGTTTTTCCTTTTTCAAAGTAGGCATTCACAAAAGTTGCATTTCGGTATTTGGGCACCAATACAAGAAACATTTCCCATCCTGCTAAGGAAACAGCATTTTCTTGAAGCAGCTTGATGTTCACACCTCGCCAGGGTTAGTTTGTATTTATGGTGACCAGACTGTTGCAACGAAATATGTGTGAGATTTCTTTCTAAATTACATTACCGTATCATTTGTATAATAGTGAGGGAATTTGACTAGGCTGTTATTGTTTGACAGCATCTTTTGACAGTGACTATTTTATTTTAAGATGATTCGAATTCGTGATGAGCATCACAATGTTGTGATGCTCTGATAATCTACTGCACTTAATCTAACTTGGTTAAGATTTTCCTTTTGCATTCAAGGTTTTGAGCACAATTATAGGGGAACAGAACATTTTTTGTTGAAACAACTTTTCTGCATGCTCATTTTTCAAGCCCCATTTTGTTTGTTTTGTGACACTCACCACATTGTCTCCCCAGTCTCCCAGAATGGTGGAAATGTAGTTAACAGCATTGAGGATGGCACAATAACGGGCACCCAGCGGGCAGCGAGACTCCTCCTTCATCACCTGGACAAAAAATAAAATAACTATCAACCACCTCTGTCTGTCATTTCTCTCTTGCCCTTATCTCTTTAAGAATTCTAATTGATTTAAAAGGGCTGACTGACAGCCTTAAACAGCCCACTTCAAAATATCCAAACTATCCATCAAATTTAAAATTACCAGCAGACAAAAATCTAGAATATCCCCATCACATTCATGCCAGGAACAGGATGGAAACTTTTTAACTAGAGAGGACGGTAACTGATTTCCATCCTGGTGCTGATTTAAAGGAAATGTATCTCATTGTTCTGACATTATTGCTCAGTTAAAGCATTAACGAGAGGTCCACTGTGAGGACAATTCATTGTGATGTGAATTTCAGATGAAATGCCCAGTTCTGTTGTCTAACTCACCATCATTTCTTTAATCATGAGTTGAGTGCCTCTGTCCCTCTTCTTGACCATCTTTCCTTCATTACTTGAGTGTTTTTCTTTCAGTAATACCAGAGTCTCTCTGTCATTGTTACCTGGGTGAGTCGTATGCGGAAGTCATCCACCAGTTCTCTCTGTAGCCCCAGAAACTTGAGTTGTGCAGAAGGACAGGGCAAGGCCCGGTACCGCTCTACAGAATACAGCAGGATGACAAAAAAAGAAAGACTTTTACTTAAAATGTTTTAGAAGCTCTAACAGCAAACAATACTATCCTGTATGCTTTAAAAGGCGCACTGTGACGTTGTTCACCACTTGTAAAGCTACAGAGTAATGCTGTTATGAGCGTGTTTTGCACAAGTCATCATTTGTTGGTGATAAAAGTAAGAAACGCATCAATGTGCCTGTAAAAGGAAGGGAAGAAGAGGAGTGCTAGCTGGCAACATAAACAATGTAGGTTTCAAAATGTGCCAAAACATTCTCTGTAAATGTTTTATTTTGGAAATTTGTCAGACCTTAGTTGCCTTTTTTCATTTGTTTATGGTAATTCAGTTAACAAACTAACAGTAAACACAGCAAACAAATATAGAAATATTACAAAAACAGTACAGAATTTACATAGACAGATATACACAGAAAACAACAGGACACCTACACAGAAAAAATACAGGTACAACATATAACCAAGGTACACCAATTCTTTACAAAATGATATTTATTTATTTATTGTTATTTATGAGGGCTTTTAATAGCCTTTATTTGGCTATAAAGTTCAAAACTGTGGTAACGCCGTTAACCTCGCTGAGAGGACATCATAATAGTACTGTAATAATATTAATATATTAGTGGCCTGTATCACCTAATGCAATCCAATATTACTGTGCAGTTTTTAATTATCAGAGAGATACCCGATTTTGATTTAATCTTTTGATGAAATGACTAATGTAGAAGATACAGCGTTGGATATCGTAGTGTTAGAGAAAGATTGAGATGGCTGTCAGTCAGCATTGATCCTGGAGTTTATTCATTCCTCCTGATAGCACCACAGAAAACAGCCGACTGAACGGAACGTTAATGTTACATCCACAGCTATTAATAATGTTACGTCAGCAAACCTTATACATGCATGTTTTTGTAGTTTGTCTCAATTGTTTTGTTCTGCTTCTTGTCCAATTCTCAGTGGGCTTTCAATGTGTTTTTTACAAGAACGTTAGATAACATTACATACAGAGACAGAACGTTACTGGATGTAAGACGCAGATATTATCAATATTTCCAACTGAAGAGACAGTATACACCGGTTTACTGACTCCTCAGCCAGAAATATTGTGGCTACTATTTAATAGTGATGTGTCCTTGGACTTCAGGAAATGGTTCGCGGGTTTGGCGTGCGATTCGAAATATAAGGGTGCAGCGAAACGCAATGGATCCCCCCCTCACATTTTGTGGACTTGGGACTTTATTGCGTGTTTGTTTGCAATCTATTCGAGCATCACCAATATCATTCATTCATTTATACAATTCCAAGCTTCACACACCAAAGCCATGGTGTCATTATAATCACTCTGCCTGTTTTACATGTATTGTCCACTTGATGACACAGTAGAGCAAATGAAGCCCATGAGTAAACCAATTGGATGGAAAGCTTCAATGCTTCATGAAGCTTCATCTTGCCATCACTACTGTTTAAGTGGTAGACTTACAGATTCTCCCCCCCCCTGCCACTGTAAGCGCTCTAGCTACTACAGAAGAACAGAAAAACAAGCACCTGCTGTATTACATGTATATGTTGAATGCTATTACAAAATAAGAGCGTTCTGACGGTGAGATGTAAATAAGCTGAGTTGAGCGGTCTTACCGGTGATGACCTGTAAAAGAGTCATGAAAGTCTCAGCACAATCTGGAGCCTTCATCTCGTCCATATCGCTGATATCTTTGTACTGAGAGCTCCACGCTCCCTCGGCCGACAGCATGGCGTCCATTTTCTCCACTGCCACTGTATACACACAGGGGTACAGGGTTGGTTTACTGCAGAGGACGTGTTTAGACACCGCATTTCTAATCATGTGACTAGTAGTATGTTTCTATAGTGTGATGTCAATAAAACACATGTCTGTGCCTCTGTTGACATGCTGATCTTTATTTATTTTAGCTTGTAATTTACTAAGCTGTAGAAAGATTTTTAAATGTTGTTGTATTAAGTCTTTTTTTTTATTAATTATTAGATATAGCAATTCTATTTTGAATTTTAAAGTACAGGTCAACAGAAGCACAGCAGACTGAAGGCTTTAGTTTCTGTACTCCAAAGATCTTTTGTAAGGGAAGAACCTCCACTCTGTAATAACACTGTACACGTGTTTTTGCAGTTCCGACAAATCCAACATAGTGATGCATCTTCTCTCTGGTGGATTCACATTCAGTCACATTCTCAGAGTTTGACCTTTATTCATATCAAACCAATAAATTAAGCTGAATAGGAACAGGCCCTTCAGTATTTTGGACCTTCAGACCTTCAGTATTTTGATTGGACAGAACCATGAATATTAGAGGACTCAGGTCGGAATCGGGGCCAACAAAACTTGATCAAGACACCTAAATAATTGAGCTGCAGGGAGTAAAAAATAAATAAATAAGGGAAGTTCGGAAGATTGAAGCAGATGCATGGTGAGGTAGAGCTCCATATCGGTCACAATTAGCTCATGAAATCTTCGGCTCAATTCCTGAAATGAAGGCCTGATCAGCATGTAACAGCACCGTCAGTCCAAGTCAAGTCTGCAGAACCTGCAATCTTGTCGATGAACAAATTTACTTTTCTTTTCATCAATAATGCCACATTTCTATTGCAGATTCCAATGGTGAGCAATTCAACAGTAAAAACAAGAATCGAAACATCTCAACCTGCTCCTCAGCACCTTCTTTTCACTGTTAGAACCCACTCAATTAATCCAAGCTGAATCTGTTTTTACAGCCACCCTTTTGTCCACATGGGTGAGTGTTGAGTAGTTTGTAATGTGTAATAAAAGAATGCATGAAAGAAACACATCTAAATGAGCCTATACCCAGAATAGGGAATGTGACATAAAATGTAGATAGAGAACTATAAAAACCAATGCAATACGCATTTCCAAATGTTGCTTTCCAGAAGCAAAACTAATTTAAAAAAAAACAAACAGACTATCATAATTACATTGTCATTGGTACAAGCACTCCTCCATTGCCACCAGGTTTGGAGTGATGCAGACGCTGTAGTAAAATTGCCACGGTCTCAATTTAATACAAACATAAATTGCACTTCAACTAATAATAAACCGACTTAATAATAATGAAGTAACTAAAATATGCTTTTGACTAATAATCACACTAATGAGTGACATAACACTGTTCCGGACCCTCACACTTACTCTTCTTTTCCACAGTTAGCCACTTCTGAAGGATCGCGTCTTCGAGCAGGAGGTGGAGCAGACCGGGCAGCGCCGCATGATACGACTGGTTGCCCCGCAGCTCCTTCTCAAACTGCAGCACCTCCTCCACCAAGTGACAAAAGAGCACATCATCGTACAGCAGCCTGGAGGCGTCACTGGCCACCTTCTCCTGAACCAGAGACAGCAGGCCTCGACACAGCTCCACCTGCACGCACAAACGCATGCAACACTTACTGTGCTAGAGGGAAAAGTATACCTGTATGAAAGCCCTGAGAGGGCAGTGAGAAAAAATAATGTAATGATCCATTTTCTGATCTTACTTGTTTTAACTGTTTAAGAGCTAAAAACAGGTTAAAAAAGGTTTTGCCAGGATCATTTTTCTAAGTTCCTTAAAAACAAAGTTATGTGAAACAGGTGGGAAAAAAAGTTTTGTCAGGTAAAGAAATCACTTTTTTTCCAGGTTTGTTTCAATTTACATAACTTAACACAAAAAACTCACTTTGAGAACCATTTGGAACATGAGGTAGTGGTGCACAGTTGAAATGCAACAAGAATGACTTGTCTTGACGAAAAAACAAATTCAGCTGCCAAAACTTTTAAAGTAACTTAGAAAAACTATCCTGGCAAAACTTATTTTTCTCCACCTGTTTTACAAATCTCACTGGCCTCTCAGGGCTTCTGTAGAAAGGAGATAAAGCAGTCAGTTTGAGCCTGTTACAGCACAGCATACCATGGCACTGATGGGGGCCCCAGCTCGGTCTAGGATAGGTTGGATCTTTTCCTCCATGAAGGTGGAGCTGTTCCCCATCCACATGAGAACTTGTGTGAGGTACCACTCTGGCTGAAAAATGCACAGACGAGATGAGGAGCTTTGCCAAAGACTTCAGACAATTTTCTACTATTATTTTAGTATCTCTCTGATCTAATTGCCTCTCTTTGTAGAAGTAAAAATGACAGACATGTCAGTATCTATGGAAAAATACAAGTTATATAATAAAAAGTGTGAAATCAACATTCATAGAGTTCCTGTGTCTTGCTTTAAAGCATTTCATGGTGAATATGTTTTCTGTTGTTGTCCCAGGCTAAATATTCTTTGTATGAATTGAAATATATATATATATATATATATATATATATATATATATATATATTTTTTTTTTTTTTATTCAATAATAATTCTGGTTATAATTACAATTCATGTATGAATGACCTACAGTACATTTATGTGTCAAACCTTGCTAGGATTATACACAAAGTGAAGATAGTCCATTTGGTTTCACTGGTGTGTATCAACTTGAGGGTGCAAGTCTGACATTTATTTAAGTGTTTGCCCTTGTGTGTGTGTGTGTGTGTGTGTGTGTGTGTGTGTGTGTGTGTGTGTTCGTGTGATGTGCATTCCATTTGTGACAGACCTTGCTGAGGGAGTTGGTCTGTCGATTCCCGTAGAAATGGTATTTGAACCTCCTGCTAAGCGGCAGCAGCATGATCTGGATGGGCAGACAGAGGGGGGTGGCTTGGGATGGGGGTGTGGCTGGAGAAGCAGGCTGGTTAGGGGGGGCAACTTGACAAGAGGCCAGAGCCCTCTGGGATAAAAGGTCATCACTGCCAGGGAAAGTTAAAGGAAACAAACACTGGACATCAAGTTGCAAATCAATGGACAACGTTGGTATCCACATTTTTGTCCAAAGCACTTTACAATTTGGTGATGTTGTTGCCTTATTGGTGCAAGTATCATGATTTCAGCATATGGGCAGGCTGCAATTTGCACATTTACTGTATTTCTATTATATTGTTTGGCATGTTTATGGCTACAAGTTGCAGTGTGTTGTTCCAGCCATTTTCCATTTGTTCTACACCACAAATTGCATCTTTGAGGACAATAAAGTTCTCTAAACTAAACCGAATATTTGCCTCTCACTCACCCACACATCAGAAACTTGCCGTCCCATTTTACTATGAACCAAAAATGTCAACCTGTAGGTGGCACTTGACGAGGGGATCATCAAAGTCACTGGGATACACCGTCTTGTACGCCATGAATGTCTGTGCCAAGTTTCATGGCAACCCATCTGGTAGATGTTAAGATATTTATTTTGATACCTGAACATTTTGCCCTGCTGGTGGCCCTTGCTGAAAAGTATTCATAGCCTGATTTATACAACATTATATCACTAAATACATGTAGAAAATTGATTTTTTTTTTTTTTTAAATGTCTGTTGACAGTATTTTCTGATTTATTGAGTGATACAAAGAGATATCCAAAATTCACTCTGTAAAAACCTTTGACTCGGATATGTCAACAACATCAAACAAGAATGCTGAACCTCGCTTTATATCTAATGTTCTGATTTATGTTCCGGAAATGTATGTAAATTAGCACATATTTAATAAGATAATGCCTCAAAGTTTCAGAAAACGTCTTAATGTCAGTAATCAACTGGGGATGTTTTATGGCGAGATCTATTAGTTCTATTTTTTTACCCAATACTCCCCTTTAGTGTCCCCCCAAAAGAGGGGGAACAATCAACAGACACGGACATTTCTAGACTGGTGCTGCTTGAAGACCGTAAAGCAGATGGAACTTCTTCCAAAGCACAAAGACCAAACTAAAGGATACGAGGTCTGCAGGGCGAGCAACTGCGTGACGAGCAGCTCCAACTGGCTGTTGATCTCCTGAACATTAGCCGTGGGCGTCAGTGACTGAGTAGGAGGGGAGATGATCGGCCAGTGAAGTTGAGTCAACACTTTCTCAAAATCGCTAGGAAATAATTGAAGAATATATCATAAGAAGACACTGAACACAGGATGACGATACAGCGACATCTTTGCATTTCCTACCTGGCCAGTCGGTCTTTGATGATCTTGTGCCAGAAGTGAAGTGTCTCTCGGAGGAAGTCCTGGAGGTGACAACATCCGGACCGGTTTAGTCCGGCGTCAAGCGCGGCCATGTTGTCCACTGACCTTATGGCCTCCCAAACACTGCTGGTCATCAGAAACTGCTGGACTGCAGCACTGCAGGCACAGTCAGCACATTTATATCACAGCACGATGTCAACATTTACAGTCATTGTGCATTTGATATTTAATGCCTTGGACCTCTACTCCACAATACTTCAGCTCATGCTTCATCTACGTTCTCCTTTCTCTGTTCACACATCTGTCATGTCCCTCTATATTTGTCTTCATCACTCTTCATTAACAGTACCTGAGTTCCTCAATATGTTGAAGGCATCGCAGGTATTTCACGTGTCTTTCTATAGTGTCCACTTGGTTGAGCGTCTGGCCGAGGTTGTCCATCCACGGCTGGGCCGTCTGTAGGTGCTAGAAGACGGAATAATGAATGAGACAAACAAGTCCTTAAACCTCCCAGAATGGCATACCTTTATATTCTCTGTCAGAAATGGACCAGTGCTTGCTTCATCTCTCTGTTAAAGTCTACCAGATGATAAACATGATATTTGCTATGCGGCGTGTGAAAGGGGAGCTCAAAAGCCCTTTTTATTTATTCCTTTTTTGACCTGCATTGGAGAAGAAAAGTTAGCTACTTAAAAAACGACAACATGATGTTAGCATTTTATTGTTTTAGTTTAATTTGCTTTTGTGGTAAATAAGGTAATGATGAATGTATGACATTGCTGTCTTAAGAAGGCAGAACAATATTTTAATTGCATCTATACTGAATTGCATTCAATTCAGATTGGAGCTGTGCAGGGAAATGTTAAAAAAATGATTTTCTTTCTTCTTCATGTTTTCATGGAAAAAACGAGTTTGGCACCACGATGTCAAATTGTTAGCACATCCATTGAACCTTCACTGAGCATTTGAAATGTTTTGATTTTGTCAAATGGGCGGAAGCATTTTATGGAAAAACGTATTAATACCCAGCATTTAAAGTACTGAATAAAGTTACAGATATTTGTATTTGGGTATCAGCAGCCAACTAAAAATACTGTATTAACCTTAGTATTTTCAATGATACTCTACCTTAGGGACTTGAATGCAATTTATTTACAACACATAACCAGATGAAATGATTTGTAACAGACTGGTAGAAGCTAGTAAACACACGCTGCTGTCATTCAAGTCAATATCTAGAGCTTCTTCCTCTGCTCTCACAGTGGTAGCTCTACCTGGTGCAGCTTGTTGGAGATGAGTCGCTCCCTCTGCAGCAGGTCCTCCAGGGAACACGCGGCCTCCTCGGCAGCCGACAGAGCTGCAGAAACTTTAGGAGGCACAGAGCTGGATACGGTCAGAACCTGAATGACACAAAGTATAAGAGCCATGGCTTACACAGGACACAGTAGACACAAACTGAGCTTGTAAATATGCATAAAAGCTGCAGTCTGCTTGTTAAAATGTTCTCTTTGTTTGATTGGATTCTACCGTTTGCCTTCGTATTAATGAAGCAGCAGTGGGTCTGCTTGATAGTTAACATTGTAACTGATGGTGTGTGTTGCCGTGGTGATGGTGATTGTGTTTTTTTTGTTCCTGGGTGTCAGAAATGAGCCATTAACAGAAATTCAATTCATAAGTATTTTCTGCAGTCTTCCTTATCATCAGGAGCATTAGTGAGGATAAGGACGAGTTGGCAAGCATCAGTGATGGAGTGGAGGGATGGAATCACCCAGTAATATGTGTAAAATATGATATCTGGGGTAAATATATGCTTTTTTTACCCCGCCTGTCTGCACGTCCTCTCCGCGTGTGCACGTCTCAGCTGGCTGAGGCGCTGGAGAATCTCCCCCAAAGAGTCGGGTCTATGAAGCAGTTTAGCCAATGTTGCTTTAATGCTGATTAAAGATATAAATGAGTGACATACAATTTAGCCAATCAGCTTCCTCAAATAGATGCGCATGTCTACAGGCGAGCACTACTCCTCGAAGACCCGTTTGAGAGGAGAACTTTGGCGGATAAACTGCAGTGAAAGAGCTGACATCAGATCAGCCTGACCTCACAATCAGACAGCAGACTAGCGGGAAAGGGAAGCAGTACATGCGAAGCTTCTCTACTAGCTGTGCACCAGACAGGTTTGGCTAGCTGGATGACGTGTATATTTGTATTTTTT